TGAAGTCAATACCCGGAGGTACACTGGGAGATGTGCATTTGCCAGTCAAAGATATATACCATGGGGACATACAGTAGAAGGGCATACATGCAGGGAAATGGACACAGGGAGACAAACCTGTTGTGAAGGATGGGGGCTACCCTGTGTGGCCAGGAGAAGGTGTTGCTGTACAGAATGAGCTCCTCACGGGACAGGCAGCCCCATTCAAGGAGGAACAGCAGCCTGGCTGCAGCCTGGTCCAGCTTCTCCTGCATAATACACACAAGCACACTGTCACTTGCTTCCCAGCTCCGCTAATCTGTCGCGAAGCTTCACACTTTTACTAAGTGGCTCACATTGCCTGCTGGGACTCCAGCTCACCTTCTCCTGTACTAAAAAGAGAAATTCCTTGTTATCAGGTCTGCAGAAAATGTCCATATTTATGTACATTACAGCTGCCACTGGCCTGTCCTGGCCACCAGGGCTAGCTGAGACTTCACTGCAGGGGTGCAAACCAGGAGGCACAATCTCTGGACACCCTCTAGGATATTTCCTGTATTTGGCAATCATAAAAGGGTCTCTGGATGCAATTGAAATTCCTGTCCCTGCTCATTACGGTTCAATCATTCGTTTCAAAACGAGCTGTACCGGATTTCAAAACCGTTCTCCCTGTTCCGTACCACCCCGATAATTTCTGTGCCGAACCTCTAATCAGTAATGTGCCAACATGTCCACTGGGCGCCATGTCATCTGAACGAGTGTGGAGTGTGAGCACAGGGCGTGAGGCTCTGAATGATTTACCCGGCTGATTTTTTTTCTCTCCCTGTCCGCTCGGATTTATTTATCCCAGCGTGGGCTGCTGTCAGGAAAGCAGTGAAGGGCACGGCGGATATTTATGGCCCTGCGCTAACGAGGCCGTTCGTTAACATAATCAGCGCGCGGGGAATGGTATTTAAGCGGGCTCCCCAAGGAGCGGGCGAGCTGAGAGGCAGGAGATGAATGCTCCCGCGCCACACTGACCCCGGACTGACACAGCCAGCCCTGCGCGGAATATCTATCGTTCTGCTATTAAATTCTCATCCTGACACGACGGAGACACAGCCATCGGTCATCAATCTGTACCGCGGCTGCTCGTCGCTGCCTCTCCGGCTCACTCATGTCATCTTCGGGGATTTCAACGAGCTTTGCTGGCACAATCTCAGCTGCCCGGGGCCTGAGCAGACCTGTCGTCACGCTCAATGTGCCCTCCAGCACGGGAAGGGATCTTTTAATTTAGTTACCCTATCGTTGTGAACTTAAGGCATTAAGAAACATAATTGGACACTTTCCCAGTAAATTAAATTGCAGTCTACTGCTCTCACAAGCAAATGACAAGTCGTTTTAACTTTTTTTTCTCTCTAGGATATTAAACCGTAATAACTTCAAGGGATAGGGATTGATAGTGTAAAAGCACCCAATTAATTCCTTCTACTTTAATAGCACTGACAATAAGTCACATCACGACCACCGTGAAGCAAAAGTAAAAAGGCGTGCAGCTTGGAGGGCGACTCGATCAGAAATGTGAGCGTGAAGGATGAGTTGTTGACTTTTTTGGGCTAAATCATACGATATTATCCATACCAGAGCCACAGCAGCACATTGCCCCAGAGCTCATCCTGCAGCATTGGTGGACTGGAGCAACAAGAGGAAAAGTACCTCACTCAACTTACAATGGGAGTAGTCTACAACAGTCTGCAGTGCGGACTCAAACCCACAACCTGTCAGTTATGAATCCAAAGGCTTACCCACCACGCTATGCTGCCCCGCACAGAAGACAGTTTGATGTTAATGAGAAATTTCAAACAGTCTAGAGAGATGTTTTCCTGGCACAATGGCATCAGCAATAAAAGTCCATAAGCGATCAGCTAATATAGCCAGCAGCCCTGCAACTCACACCTGGCAGCCCACTGAAGCTCAGCGGGTGAGCAGAGAGATGCTCTGCTCCTCCAACTAGCGCCAACTCTCCTGTGCTGCAAGGTGCAACAAGAAAAAATAATAAAAGGCCCAACTATGTGGATGTGTGCAGTACAAGAGTCCTTGCTGAGGACTGAGATGTAAAAACCCAGCTGTTGATTCCAAAGTGGGTGGGCATAACATTTATTGAAAAACATGTTACAAAAAAGCACTTCAATGCAATGCAAAAAATCTTTTAGCTTTCCTATCAACAACTGTTCAGCAAAAGCACCTGCATATTACTAGTAGTAGCAGGTGCCACTTGCATCAAACGTGTCCACAATGCAAAAGCCCAGTCCAAGCCTCATAGACACATTTTCATATATCTGGTTAAATATAAACAGAAATGGGTTCTGTCATTATCAAACTTATTAATACTATAAGATGGCATCGACACTGGAATTCATTTGAGAGGTAACATTCCCTGCAGAAAGTGAAATGAATCCACCTTTCACGGAAAAGGGCTACAGTCACAGGCAATTTAATTTGTGGGTCAGAAGGGCTGTGGCTGTACCCAGACTCTGACCCAGCACACAGGCAGACTAGCAGTCATCTCCAGGACCCCTGCCTGTGCCCAGAGCCCCGCTGAGCTTGACAGCAGGTGCTGGGCTTCATTGACATTCACAGAACATTGCTGCAATCCTCCACACATCTCTCCCTCATTGATATGCAGCTCGGGAACAAAAAAAAAAACCTTGATCAATTTTTAATTTTTCCTTTCTCTTTCAAATTGCATTGAGGGTTGACCTGCGCTGCCATCTAGTCACCCAGCCATCTGCACGCTGCGAAAACAGACCGGAGGATTCAGGATGCTGCACAGAACAGATGAGAGTCAGACCTGCGTCGGCTCAGAGAGTTCATTAAAAACCGCAAGGCAGCCCATAGCAGAATAGCACGGCTCAGAATCTTTCCCTGCTGCAATCAGATCTCAGACCAATCGGCATGTGATAGAAGTGGAAAAGAATTCCTAAAAGAGATATTTATTCCCTGAGAAAGGAAGTGCATGCAAAGCTGGCACTCCAGGCAAAATATACTGATAGAAGGACAAAGATAAGTACCTACACAGCATCAGAGTACATGTGCAAGTTTCGATTTAAGAACGTAGATGACAAAAAAAATGGAACAAACTGATTCATGAACATAAACTGACCATGAGGACAAGGTGGGCAACACTGTGACACAGTGGTTGGCATTTCTGCCTCACACTTCTGGGGTCCTGGGTTCAAGTCAAGGGGTGCTCTCTGTGTGGAGTCTGGAGTTTCCTCCAGAAGCTCCAGTTTCCCCCCACAGTCCAAAAACATAATGGGACATAACATACTTAGTGGTAGTTTTTTGGGAAAATTAGCTTTAAGTACGAGTTTGTGTGTGCCCTGTGATGAATTAGTGTCCCGTCCAGGGTGTATCCTGCCTTGCACCCGTTGCTTGATGGGATAGGCTCTGCCCCCCCCAGTTAAAATATAGATCCATGGGTGGAGAAGAAGGCTGCTTTATTTTTATCTTATGGATGGAAAACCATTAAAGGGCCTTCTCTGTGGTATGGACTGGCTCTGCGAGAGTGGTGAAGGTTGCTGTACATCTCAGAGGTCTGTTTCGGGAGGTACTGTAGCTGAATTTCCCGTGGATGGTCCCTGCGAGAGCAAGCTATGCTCGGAGACAGACTGCCGCTTCACAAAAGTTCCGTTATTAAAACATGCACTTATCCTAGATCAATATTTCACAGTTCACTCCAGAATGTGATATTTTGCAAAAGAAGACACAGGTTATGTAAAGAAAAGGGGGAATGAGTTGGATCATTTGTCACCAGAATGGCAAATTTTAAAGGTTACAGGCTTTGCCGGTAACTCTTTCATAATGGACTTTTTTGCTCAAGCAAGGACATAATTTATTTTCACTCATGCTTTCTGTCCTAAAGTATAACTGTATGGATTACAGTCCTCCAGGCAGGGATTCGGGCTGTCGGGATGGGTTTGATGGTGGTATTATCAAGTCACCCAGCTGCCCCTGAGCAGTGACCTGAACCCCTGGGCAGCACCTAAATAACCAGACAGGTGGGACAGAGCGTCTTACCTGTAACTCCAGCAGTTCTCCGCTCCACAGCCCCTCCACATAGCTCTGCAGTTCAACAAGGGACGCTGTTGTCGTGGCGACTTCTGTCACCCTGGCAACGATGTTTTCATACCGCTGGCACACTGCGCGGCAGAACTTCTCTGAAGATGACATCACACTGCTCACAATCAGTCTAGACAGCACGTGAGTACGTTCCAGCAGGCACTGAGAGGGAGAGGAGCAGAATAGAAAGAGGGTGAGTGAGATTTACCGCTTTGCCTAAAAGGGTTATTTTATACGACATTTTTTAATGGTAGGCACCATGGCAAAAGGCAAAATACGGGTTATGGCAGAGTATAGCGAACGAACACCAAAATAAAATCAAGCAGTCAGTCAATCAATCAATTAAACCAACAAACAATCAATCAATCAATCAATCAAACATTTGTTATGGAACCTTTCCCAAAGCTTTGTCTGAGAGGGTTTAACAGAATTATATTGCAATTACTGATGTGGCAAGATATGAACGTTGGGACACAGGGGAGGGGAAAGCAGATGAATCCAATGAGTGAAACCTTTAGGGAACCCTGGACCCTGGTCCCTGGCCCCATCACTGCCCCCCCCCACACACACACACACTACAGGTGATACACTAATACACTAATCATAACAGATCATAAACAATCTCTACACAGTCCTGAGTTGGGATCCTACCCACCTGGCTCTGTCTCCTGGGTTGTGTGAGTGAAACAGCTGAAGTTCCCTGTATCTCGCACAAAGTGAGCAATACAAGGAGAAGAAGCTCTCAGCCTTCAGATAAGTCAAGTCACAATTAGCCAAAGAGCCTCAAAGTCAAAGAGCCTCCAACAGGGTCAAGAAAAGAACACATGTCCCTTTGGAAGGGGACCGACACAAAGAAAGGCCTGGGGAGATGAGTGTCTGTCCATGTGAGACTTCAGCAGAGCTGTGCTGGTGGTCTCTGCCTTCTCGGCTAGTCGACAGGATGGATTCGGTAGGCAGGAGGAGAGAAAGGGAAAGAAAAGACACAAAATGAAAGACAAGTAGAGGTAAGAAAAGGGAGGGCGAGAGATGGAGAGGGAGAGAAAAAGAAGGAAGGACGACAGAGGAGAGGGAGAGAAGCCTCAGACTTGTCCAAAGCTCTTCTTGTGATCTATAGAGCCCTTCGTGATTAATAAATGAACTGCCTCCAAAGCCAAGGGTTTTTCGATTTTTTTTCTCGAAGGTTTTGTTTTTATCACCCGGAACTTTGATGTGTGGCCTGGAGCGGAAAATCCTTCCAAAGTCCCGGAATAAAGGTCAGCCATCTTTCACTGTCCCTTCTGGATGAATGTAGGCAGCCCACAAGTTGAAGAGTAGGGCTATTAAGCACAGTAAGGAAGCAAATCACATCCGTCTGCCATGTTCAGCTCAGGAGGAAGTGCTTATCTCTCGGAACACACACTCCGCGCACCTCCCAATCAGCTCTCAGAGGATGGACAGTGGCATTTTAAGCGGTATTTTTACTAAAGGCTACGAAATCAAACTGACATGACAAATGGCCATAAGGATTTAACAAAAGGACTCGGCAGTATGTACTTAACTGGCCTCATAAACCGATAATGTGGATCGGTAGTTTGTGGCGATACGATCGGCTTTTATTACGCCACATCGTTCCTGGGTGAGCATCTTCTGAAAGCTCCTAAAGGTCGAGTGACGACAGAGCAAGACGAGACTAAAGCACAGCTGGTAATCAAGAGTTAAATTACTCATTTCATTTAACACTATCAAATCTATTTAAAAGCACTGGAGAAGAAGCAAATGCTCTACAAGCCGCAATGAAAATTCCCAAAGGTTGCGATAGAATTCGGAAAGGGGCTGCGACCTGGCAGATGACACTCAATGCAGACAAGCACAAACCTTGACTAGACATTTCTAGTTTTGAAGAGAGACGACCAGGAGGAGAATTAAAATCCCCCCAGATACTGACAAAGTCAACCCAGTGGACTTCATCAGTATCTGCAGTGAAACACAAACTAGGAGACACCAGTGAATCCAAATAGAAGGGTGTTCATATCCATGAACAGGAGGTACAGTACATTTGTAAACACTCGACTGTGGGACCAAGAGAGGTCAAATGACCACCTCTCATTTAAAACCTTTCTTATACTTGCAGCATGCTGAGCCACACACTTTTTGCCATTGTGGGAACATTCACTCTTCTGATGGATCTTGATGTCACTGTTACAATTAAACCTAGAGAGGGTGAACCATTTTTACTCATTATGTCCCAGAAAGCAAAACCCAGTCAGAAATGTGAAAGATTAAAGGCTTGGGTTTGGCTGTGTGAATCTGTTTTAAAGCACTATTTACAGCTTAATAAAATTACATTATTATATTATATGAGATATTATATATTATTTTGTTGTTGTTGTTGTTGTTGTTGTTGCTGTTGTTATTATATTGCTCCATCACGAGTCTGGCAGACTGAGGCGAAGCTTAGCGATCTTCAGGCTTGTGATAAAAACAGCAGTGGGTGTTTGCAGGGGTGTTCGAATATGTGCTGGTAAAACAGATGCACTGTTACACACTGAGGAAAGCAGGAGAAACAAGCAATCTGCAGATCTCTCAAAGGAAAAATAAACCTCAAAAGGCAAAGCATGACCGTGTGACTATTGTTTGGTCATTTATCTCATCAATCAATAAATCAGTAATTGGACTTTCATTTTATCTGGCACCTTTGCTCGGCCCATCTCAGATACCAGAAGATATCAGAAGAACTCAGAGCACGGCAAGCAGAGCTCTGTGCATGGGCTTATAATGAGCATTAAGATCTACGCCAAAGGCAGAAGATCCAGCTTCAAGAATTGTAAACCAGAAATAGGTGCAGATTCCCTGGTGTAAATTAATAAAGTGTCCACACTCACGGGGGTTGCTTTCTATTGAATCTGCCCCTCTTAGCTCTTTAGTAATGAAAACAAGGATAGTGTTAAAGCTGTACATACAAGCATACAAGCTGTACACCCCCATACCTCTTCTCACCCCTCCCTGGGCCTTAGTTTTAACCAAGCCGATCTCTCCAGGCTTGACCAGGGACTATAACAGATTGTACAGTCAGATGTGTCTTATGTATGTGTGGGGCCATGCACATGCTCTGTGAAAGGCAGAGAGGCAGAAAGCGCACACGCTGGGTCTGTCGGGGACTCACCTGGTTGACGTGGGTGCAGTCGAGCAGCAGCAGCTCCATGGGCAGGTGAACAGGCAAGGCAGCGATCTCTGCACGCATGGTCTGCAGCTGCTGCATCTGCATGGTGCAGCTGCGCAGGCTGGGGCCCTGTGCTACGAAAGCCTGCAGCTGCCTCTCCATCTGTGCAGACAGCAGGGTCAGGTAGGGCCCGTATACATCCTGGTACCTATGTACAGACACACAGGCAGAAAGTGAATGTGCAGCTTTTTATTTGTCTTAAGCAGTCTCTCTGTACTTCTTAAAGCTGTAGCCACTTTTCTTAATTGCGTTCCGTTTCTCCATTAAAGCCTTACTTGCTAAATGTACTTGAAACCGTAAAAAGTTTTGTTTCTGAACCCTTTTGTGCATGGTTCAAAATAGCTGAAAGGACAGAAAATACAAAAAAGTTTCCATGCATTTAAATGGCAAATAAAAAGAGATTTTAGGAACAATCCAAAAATTGATGATGGAAATTGCATCAGATAGCTTTGTAAGAGCATTAATTCCCATTTTTTCATTGAAAAGGTAATGCATTTAAGTTAAACACCAAAACTTAGTTACAATCAATGCTGCCAGAACCCCAGCTCCAGAATCTCGTACGTGATGTCCAGAGTACAGAGCTCACGAAGGTCATCATCAGCAATGGCAACACGTTCAGGTCGATTTCCGAGTATCTTTTATCTTTCCTCCCATGATTTACTGCATGATCCCAGAAAAGGATCACACATGTAAGCTCTTCATTAGTGTCTGTGTTTTAGTATCTAGCTTTCAAGAAGAAAACATCAACTTCCACTGCTAAAACAGAACCATCGATTGACTATAAAAGCTTCATTTTCATCCATCTTAGTAATGAAGTAATTGGTCTTCTTGGTGGGCTATTTTGTAACTTTTCATTTAAGAATTAATTGTAAAAACGAGGAAGGGTTTCGGCAATAAGAGACTCCAAACCCAGGTAGGGCAGTTAGTATATACCAGAAGAACAGGGATACAGAGCTGTAGGTTCTCCATTGACAATCTGTTTACACTATATTGGTCATTTATAGTTTGCTGGCTCAGTAATTGCTTAGTCTGTGGGATACACCGTCTTAATTTAGACTTCTTGAATTAGGGTCATCCCTGTGCCTTTTATTTTAAATCTGTTCTAAGAAGTTTATGTCAGTCGGCCCTTTGGCATACCGGCTATAGAGAGGAGGAACCTTGTGAGCAGCCTGTGACAGATATCCTTTTGTTTTGGGGTGTTTACTGGATGCTGCAGTTTTTTCAGAATCTACAAGAAGGATCACTAAAGAAAGCTGTAATGTTAATACATTGTGTTAAGACAAATTGAGAACAGAAGAAGAATATAACAAAGAAAGCCACTGGTGAGCCGTGTGAATCACCGCAATGTCATTACTGCCCCACGCAACTCCCTGAACTCTCTGGAGGTGTGTAATAGACCAGCCAGTCTGGTGACGTTCCCAAGGATTCAGCCTTTCCATAATGCAGGAAAACAGGATCAACCCTAAAGTACCAGAGTCTAACGAACAAGAAAATCCTGCCCAAGCGAACCAGGAATACCAATGTTAATGCTGAGAAGAGCAGCCTTAACTCCACACAGCACAAACACATCTTCCGTACTTCAGCTCAGCACTGGCTTGAAGCAGCAGGACTTGATGCAGATGATCACGCAGAAAGGCCTTGGGAGGAGGTTATTTTATGATGGATCTGTTATAATCAGAAACCAGGAATGCTAAATCTGAGATCAATTGAATCCTGAAATTTATATGAAAGCTTAGCCTCACATTTTTTTTACAACCTGTTCAAATTCCTATTACAGAGCTCTATCTCAAAATGATGTAGAAGAGTCACCCTAGGGCTTGCATTTAAAGTTCGTTTTAATGTCTAATCATGTCCCCCTCCCCCCCTGCAGGAATGATGAATAATGCTCTCTACAGCTCTGCTGTATATTTTTTCATCCCTCAGGGAGAGAGGAACCCCACCATATGTGTGACTAAACAGACAAGAATTAATTATTCTTTAAAAGAAAGATGAAACCCATCCATTATAATGACAGAAGGTGAGGAACAGATGCGATATTTTCAGGCAGAGATGGATAATTTAACATTCTGGGTAGTTTTGCACTTTCACAAGTTTTTCTTTTGCCTTTCCATTAACACAGTGAGCCTGTTTCCTCCTCTAACTCCTTGCTAATGTTAACTTATGAGAGTTTAACATCACACTCAATCTGCATGGCTTTGCTACACATTTACCGTGACAATACCGTTTCACTTTGGCCTCCTGCAATCTTATTACATTTTCACTTTATTATCACACCTGACCGTGGTCACAGTGGACACTTATTGTATTACGGCACTACTCATCCACACTGACTTTCAGATAGCCGGTACAATAATGACTTAGAACATACTTAGGTAGACTTTCGCAAGCAAGTGCATGATGGGATAGAAATTATCCAGCAGCTGGAAAGTCTATGACCTAGACTGAGCTCAGGACAGTTTACTTCACTTTCTGAAGGCAGTCAGTCAGCTGGAAACATGACTAAACAGACTGTCGGCCCCCTTCATCAGTCTGCATGTGAGATGTTCAAGTACAGGGTTTTTTTTTTCTCGCCCTAAAAACGAGACGCTGTGACGACTGCCTCTCCCCTCCACTGCCCGTGGACTGGGTGCAGCTCTGGCAGGAAGTGGTGGCGAGAAAAAAAAAAAACAGCAATTAAAATGGAGGAAGGGATGGAGCAATACAGTGAGTGCACCATCGCGCAGCCTGGAGAATATCAGGCTGGAATTATCAGTCAATTATACAGGTGCGGATTACTCATATTTGCACTTAATTGCTTTGGCTGCTATTTTTGGGCTCTGGCTCATTTGGCAGTGTGGGGCTACGCGATTACCTTGCCCCCTCTGTGCGCTCAAGGTCAGCACACTGTGAAATTGCTCCAGTTTTGCCTGACAGTCGGAGTCGAGGCGCCGGAGAAGAGACTCCCAGAACGACACAGAAAAACACAGGCCGGTTTTATTCATCCTGCACAAAGACTCTTCCGAGATTGAGGTCGAGAATCTGTTTTTTTTTTTTTCTTCGTTCGTGAAAGATGATAGCCGCCGTTGAGCGGGGCAATCTGTTTCCACCCCGAGAGGATTGCGTTAAGGATGTGTGTAATGTGAAAACTACTAAAAAACACGCCAGCAAGAAGCAGCTCAGCTCGTAATAATATGCATCTGCAGCCAGCACTAGAAGCACCTGATGGACAGTATAGGCACTCAGACTAAGAGGGTAAAATGTTTGAGGAGGAAAATCATGAAACACAAAACATAAAAAAAAAACATGACCTTAATTAAGTGAAACAGAGCAGACAGGCATTTAAAAAAGATTGCTGTTTTGAAGATTCTTAGTACTGATATCATAACAGTAGTGTGCTCTGAGATAACATTTTCCGATGAAAATGTAATTTTGATCCACAGATTATGTGTAGAAGACGAGGAGGTCCCTTTTAAATTTCCATAGGTTTTCTAATGGAACTGTTTATCGTCTCTGCAATTTCTAATGTCCATTACGACTGCTTAGAGAGAGGGAGTGTGGGCAAGCAAAGAAAGAAAACAATGGAGAAAGAGAGAGTGTTGCGCCTGGAGAGGGTGCGGACCATCACCACTTCTCTTCTCTGCGTACAGTCTCATATCAAAGGAGAAGATGCCAGGAATCTTACAGTATAATATGACAGCTCAAGAGGAGCTAAATGACTTTGCGCAATTCTGCAGTTCTTTCCTGTCTGCAGAGGAAACACTGAGAGGAAGGAGGGGGAACAGGATCCCTTTTCTTTGGGAGTGCGGTTACCGCAACATCATGCGCACGACACTGTCAAGAATAAAAAGTTTTAATTGAGAAAAATGAGGTTGGTTCTAAATGCTGCCACTCTGAGTATGCGGACTGCCTGTATTGGGGAAATCTGTAAAAGCACGGATATGTCAGTCTGTTTCGGCAAAGACTAATCCCTTCTAAATAAAAAGAAGACAGTGCATTCCTCATCGCCACCTCACCTCCCCCTCCTCTCCTCAATCACATCTCTCCCCTTTCCCAACTTAATTATCAAGGCTGAAAGGTCATTCTTATTGCCGGAGAAGAAATTGCCCTTTTTGGCCACAGAATGAAGCCAGATAAATTACAGCATCAGCTCGGAAAGAGAGGTCAGACTGGTGGTGGGAGGAAGGAGGCTGAGGTAGGTGGGAGAGGGGAGGGTGAGGGATGCTGGAATGGGGTCTATTGATGGCCGAGATCAAGGGTTTGACAGGCCCAGTGCAGAGATCGAAGGGGCACCAGTAGGGCTACGAGTGTGGTATTAGAAAAAGTACAGGTCCAGAAATTGTGCAGTGTAATTCCACAATTATAACAAGGGTACCTTGTCTTTTACAATAGACTTCCATAGTCTCTTTGACAATAGGTTTTATTCGCTGTGCTTGTCTAGAAATGTACCAGTCTGTCAGTGTGATGTGCTAGAATCGACAGTGATAACACTACAATTACTACAGGAATTCCGTAGAAGGGTAGAACCGTGCAACTATCAGAAACACTCACTATAGGTTATTGCAATCTGGGCCATGCGGGGTGGGCAGTGGGGGTGGCTGGGCCTGTGAACGAGCCCGAGCCCAGGGCAGACTGATGCTATCTGCTCAGTGGGCACACAGAGTTATGAGCGAAAGGAGGTTTGGGGGAGCAGAACAGATGAAACACTGGAGGTAGACCTGTGCCAAAAGTGAGGGGTGGGGGTGGGACGCCTGCAGTTGAAATGGGGTAGGAGAAGGGAGAGTTGAGAGCTGATGAAGTCAGGATTATAGAAAGGAGGATAGTTGACCAGAAGCAGCCCCTGGGATGGAAACCTGGGGAGAAGCAACAACACTGGAAGGAAATTGAAGAAGAGAACAGGTGTCATGGCGTCTGCTGAGAGACGGTTATTTTCTGTGAAGAGTAAAGAAGGATTCTTTGGTCTTTTATTACTTCCTTTTATATTGTTAGAGTTTTTTTAGTCTTGTTGCACGTTTTCTCCTGCAATTAAGGACAGTCAAGAGTTGCTGGAACACTCCCACTCGGAGCCCAGGATAATAAACACTACACAAGAGGCGTCTTCCAAGATGGCTGCTTCAGGCTTCCTTCTTCGGGACAAAAGACTGGAAAGAGTGGGATTCGGCTGTACAAAAAACCCACGTCTTGAACAGGTGCAGATTACGGTGACCACTTTTTTGTCCTCTTTTGTCCTCTTTTTGTAAAACACTTTGGGATCCTCTGGGATGTAACCTGCTACATTAATGTAAGTAATCCCTATTGTGATGATGTACCAGGATACTGAGATGATACTCCACTGACATCTCTTGGCCACAGTCACTACTTTCAGGGTTTTAGAGTTTTCTGGCTGTAAGGCACTGACAGAAAGAGCCATCAGGGAGAAAATAAGACGTCATTTTAAATTACTCCTGTAAATAACTGATGCTTTTAAATTTGAGTCTGGGGATCTCCTGTTTCAGCATACACACAACTGTGCTTTTCTACATTTGTAACCTGTCACCAGTGTTGAAGAGGCAGTTGAACTAAACACACACATTGAAATTAACAAAGCATACAAATAATTCATATCAAAACTGGGTCTGTGACATAATTCCAGCTGTCTGAAAGCCTGAAATAATTGTAGATTTGGAAGTGGAATTGTAGTTGCACAAGGTAGCCTGGTGACCATCAACATCTAAAAAGCAGTGGAATTCAATGTCTGCTTCAGTAATTGTTACTTAAAACAAGGCCAGTCTAATTCTGAACCTGCCCAGACTCTGCAGTCACTTCACTGTGATAATTATTTGCAGAATAGGAAAAAGGTAATTGCATTCCTAGGTGTCAGTCAGAATTCTAGTCTTACGTGTTTAATAGTGCCTCTTAGCACATGCAAAAGTTTGAAACAAATGCATAAGACCAGCTTATTATGTGAACCACATCAATTTCAGGAAGCAAAATAATTGCTTCAATTTGGAAATCAAGAACAGATGGGCTATGTAGTCCAGAAGAACTTGCCTGCAGTCCTCTGAGACTACAGCTTGACAATAGTCAATAACCATTATACTACCATAGTGTACAGTACCAATCATTACCCTTTATAGTACCACGGTACACCAACTGATATCCAATATAGTACCATGGAACATCAGTTATTTAAGCGTTATAGTACCATAGTACACCAGTCGATAACTTATTCTATCACGGAATGATTGCAAAGTGACAGATTTCTTCTTCCATTACAGGCTTCTTGCTTTCATTGCACTGAGACAGGAAAGCCACATCACACTTAAAAGCTCAAAAGCAAACGTTCTTAACACCTAGTTGGCGCTACCGGTTAAAAATTCCATGGTACCCTCATAATCTATTTTGGCAAAGCAGAAAGAAATCAAGATAAAGGCATAGGAGAACACGGTGAAAGCAAAGTAAAATCATGAGAGGAAACATGATAGGAGCTCAAAATGTATGAGGATAAAGATCAGAAGGGAATCACATTTAAGGGCAAACTGATCAGGATGGAAACAGTACCATCCCTCCACTCACCGCTGGGGCCCATAGCTGTTCTCCGTCACCACAGCTGCTATCTTGGCCTTCAGGAGCAGCACCATCTCTTCCTCTGTCTGGACTGAGCTGATGAATTTGGCTTCTGCTTTATCTACAGCCTGCAGGGCGAAAGCACCAATTGTTTAACAGCGGGGAGCTTATCAGCCCCTATTAACCAGGCTTCTTGTCTGGACAGGTTGATTGAGGGGATTCCAATAACGGTTCGTCCTGAGAAATAATGGCCGCCGACAGAAAGCAGCACCACCGCTTCAATCATGGGCTGCGAAAGTCTTTAACTCCCCACCAGCCCTCTGAACTCTGAGTCTCAGCCACAAACGAGATAATGTGTCAGGCTTTTTTCTCCTGCAACAAAGGAAGATGATAAAAAGCTCCCTGATTTGTGCGTTTTATATGAAATTCATTGGTCAAGTGTTTCGTCTGTAGCGGATCTGACTCCCTCTCCTTTTCCTTCTCTCTCCACCCCTTCAGTGATCACCATTTAGAGCTGCATTAAGACATCAAGTACACAGTATGTGCAGTATGTGGGTCATGTAATAGGTTTATTCTGCGCTGAAAAGAAAAGAAAGGAAACACAATGTTTCGGCTGTGGAGCCGGGGAGCCTCACACCTGAAGAAGGCTCCACGGCCGAAACGTTGTGTTTTCTTTCTTCTTTTTTCCAGCATGGAATAAACCTATTACTTGTTCCTTTGCTGCCTACGCAAGCTGACCCAGCTCCCCACCTAAACTACTACATCAATAACCATATACACACATTAAAACCACAGGTTAGATACAAATACAGACCTGAAAATAAATAGACTGTGGATTGTGTGGATTCATATAACCAACAATGCACCCATTTACTCTATGAGTGATTCAACATAATATAGTCATAACATTTTCTACAAGAGTTTATATAAGGGAAAGATTACAAATGAGAAGCCACACGACCCATCTAGGCCGCGGTGCGAAAGTTTGGTGATGAGCTGAACGAGACTGGAAAAAAAGAGACCGCCGCCCAGGGAAGCTGTCAATGACACTTTGCCCAGTCGAACCCTTGGAGGAGCTGCAGCACACTGGGGGGCTCTCATGCCCCGTGCCCCTGATGGCCACTCTACCACCGGGCGAACACTCAGCGCAGGACAGCAGGTCGATTCGGAAATCGGATTTCTGTGAGATTTTGCCCTGCGGAGGGACAAATCAAATCCTTCTGGAAAAAAAAACAAACCGATGGGGGAACTCCTTCAGGCTGGGGATGAAGCAAGCGGATAGTTTATCATAGATGCCTTCCCAGTCTCAGTCCTGTCAAAGTTAATGATATCAAGCCAGCAGTGATTACTGCTTTCAACGCCCAGGAGAGGTGCTAATTACAAATCTTATGAATATGCATTACGAAAGCTGTTTTAACACTTTAGGAATTGTGCCATTCTGGAATAACTCAAGGCAGAAGTATCGCTTTTTTTTTCTATTTTTTTTGTCAATAATCACCCCGTCTTCCTTAGATAGATGGGCCTCCTCTCATTTGCAGACTTTAAGTATAATAAATCAAGATCTATTAAAAAGTAACACATTCATTAAAAAAAAGATTAATTAAAAAGTCCAGCTTTGTCAAACATATTAATTGCCTATATAAAGTAGCAACTTCATCAATGGCGGGTTGCCAGTTCTCTAGTGAGGGTTGGGCTCAGCTCCAGAGAAGATAAAATATGGATGTCAAATTTTAATTAGGGTGTGAGGTGTGGACATAATGGTCACAGGAAGTCCTCTGTCACATGACCAATCTGAGGAAGACAATTGGATGGGGTGACAGTTAAAAACCAGGAACGGGAAGTGACCAGAAGGCTGTTGGCCACTGCTAACGTGGAAGTGAGGAGAACCTTTGTTATGTGCAGTACAACAGGGAGAAAGGAGCAAGAAAGTGGCCAACTGATTGATCTACAGTACTAACTCATGGAAACTCAGTACTGGATTTATGGAAAGAATTAAGAGTGTTGATTTCAAAGGAGAGTTTTGATTTTGATACCAGAAAGCAAAAGAGTTGGAGAGGACTACAAAAGAAGCTGAGTTAGGGCTTAAAGAGGAGATAGTGTTTTGCTGGAGTTTCATTGCATTGTTAATAAAGAGCATGGTTTTTACCTTTTAGGACTCTGTCTGTGTTTCTGTTACCTGAGTCACACCTATTAAAAGATACCTGCTAAGTCACTACACCAGACGTGTCACAGTGTTTAGTGAATATTTCTAGATGACTTTTACTGCATTCCTTTATATGTATCAAATACCCTTGCACACTGTAAGGAGTTCTGCGTTAATCAGGTATCCCCACTACTGTGGCTGGCAGGCAAGCCTGGCTCAGTGCTGCCTGTGTATCTCTCACAGTGCTGTTATAACTCGCCAGCCTTCAAATCCATCCTCCACTCCATCTTTCCTGTGGGTCAACATCTGAGCTATGGAAAACGCACTCTGATGTCAATCCATTTGCTTTGGAGGGATCGGTAACCGACTAAATGACTAAACGAAAATGGTGCTTCAGGGAGATTCTTATTGCAGAAGTCATGTTTTCTGGAATAGCTCAGTGCGATGTGCTCTCTCAGTCAAGGCTAGAGCAATAACAGTACAAGGTTACCTTCAGAGGTCCCCATGCTCAACATGTGAAGGAGTGACTCAATGTGAACAATCAAATATCAGATATCTGCAGATTTTTCAACGGCAGATAGATCCCCGTTTTTCTCATATTTAACTGTTTACAGATGTTAGAACCTTCAAAATGCATCATGTTTGATTTTCTAATACCAATCAGAACATATTTGTTCTGTTACAAACCATGCTCAAACTTTGATGTAGCATAGCAGGTCTGGGCACCTCCTTCAACCACTGTCACAGACTTCAGTCCAGTTTGTGCTCCCTAGACTGAGGCAGAAGCTTCATTGTGCAGTCAAATCACATAGAACTCCCCTGTACTTTGATGCACTCTTGCACTTGTTGAGTTCACAGAAGTAATAACCTGCACTGTGGGAAGCCCTGGTCTGCTTCACAGAAGCAGTAGACAGAGAAAGATGTTGCATTCCTTTGACCTCAGGACAACAGGAGACATCCTCTCTCCCCCCCACCCACCGCCCGCCCATGATGCACCAGACCGAACAGGACTCGTAAATCACTGCTGAAGCAATGCACTTTCTTCTTCTGGTCATCCCATGCTTCATTAACGAGCTCCTCGGCCCTGCCGGACTTAATCAATACTGTCTCATAACGGGCCAGCAAACGAGACAGACGACCCACAATGTCTGCCCCCCTTTTTGCTGTTAAACACCAGTTTTACTGCTCTGCGAGCTCACTGAAGCGGGGCTGCTGAAATTGCCTTCCATCATCTGGTTTTTCCGATTTCCATGTTTAGCAATGAGAGTAATGAATGTGCACTGGGATGGTATCAGTTCTCAGAACTGGTCCTGTACTGTCTTTCATACACCCCCCAGGTAAGATGACATTCACCAGACTACGCAAAGCTCTAATACAATGGGAGATGTAATTCATTAACAAATAATATAGAATATTAGTATAAAATTGGACAAAAATGTGGGAACAACAACTGTAGCTATCAAGAACAGTCTTCGGAATGAAGGGGTATTATTGTTAAATGATTTAAGAGACTTTCAAGAAACAGCAGGGTGATGTCTTTAGATCAATAAGCTAGGACTGCAATGGGCAGAGTATCTGTCTCCTGCTTAGGAACTAGAATGGTTAATGACAGGTGCTCTACATATGTTGGCTCATGCAAGCTAGTGAAATGCTGATGTAATTTTTATCTCTGAGGATGCAACATCCCTTCAAGCTGCAGTACTGCGGTGAAAGTATTCGAGCCTGGTCTCTGTTCTACAACATCGCAGCCCTTACTCAGCGGCTATTCTGCACGAAGGGAATGGAGTGATTCTGACTGCGGGAAGGGGAGCACGGGTGTTCATACCTGGAACAGCTGGCTCTCGAGCCGAGGGAAGCGCTGGACGCTGCAAACCACGTGATCCACGACAGCACACAGCTCCTGGGCCAGCTCCTCCGGGGAGGGGGAGAGAGTGACAGACCCCTGCTGCCCACACGCCTCCTGCGGACACACACACACGGGCACTGTCACGCAGTCTGCTCCTGCCGGGTTCCTCCTTATCAACAAGGAAGGGTGCAAATGAGTCCGTTCAGTCCATCCAGCTCTTGGGATTGTTAGTCAGTAACTGAGGATCCTTATTTCCCTTAAACACGGTTCACAAGTTCCTCCAGCACTCGTTTGTCAACTGATCTCTTCCGAATGTCTCCCCTCATTTAAAGATTACTGGCTTCCACACGCCTCCAGGATACATCGTCCATGTTGTTTCTTTTCCCTTCCCTGTCCCACTCATTTACCTTCCATTCCTGCACTCTCCCTTTCTCCCCCCTACACACTTGACAAAGACCCCACAGCCCCAAACGCTAGCTACATCTAAATGCTTTTCTTTTTTAATTTTCAGCCTGAAATTAACCTCTTCTATTTTCTTTGTATCCCCATGCGCTGGAGTGTGGAATTCTGAAACAGAGGCAGAAAGTGAGGGAATATAAAGTAATAAAGGTTTTGATAACCTCCTGATCTCTAACCCCACCCCTTGCCTTGCTCGTGTTCTCCCTCTCTCTCCCCCCTTCTTCCTCCTCTCACACTCCCCCCAACACATTGCTGCGCAGAGGGCTCCACTGAGCACCGTATTGATTGTGGAGGCTTGACGGCTTTGTAACCATCACTGCAGGTCACACAGTGTTCGAGAAACGCAACAATAAACACATTAGGCCGCCTGCAAAGGCAATATTGACAGGAAGACCAGCAGGGGGTCTCTCAGGTGGAGGACGGAACTAAGAGGTTACCAACAATGGCACTTTCACAGCACCACACTGAGCTTCTGTCTAATATGGCAAAGAGGAAAAAATGGAGAATATTCTGTAAATAAGCAGCTTTCAACATTCCCTTTCTTTTCATTTCCTAATGGTTTCATATCCTACATGTTTGTGCACTGTTGGTACGTTAAGAGAGTGCTTTCTACCTTGGCCTGAGAATCACTCAATGGAAAACATCAATACATCGATAGATCACTAAAGTCAGAGTGTCCTTTAAGTTCTTAATGGCTTTATGTTCTCTCCGTGCTCTGTGCTGTTTTCTCTTAGGATATAATTGGGTAAGCTGAGCGATGAAATGCAGGTCCTTTAGTTGTTTAGAATCAAGAAATTGTCTTCATCACGTAATCACCCTTCATCTCAACAGACACAACCAATTTGTCCTTCAGACTACCAATTTCCTGATAGAACTCTTCTGACTGCTCCTTTAACAACACATCAGCTGCTGATTTCAAGTACCATCCTGAAACTGTGTATTACATGGCACAAGCTACAGCAGTTTCAGAACATTTGTTTGTAATGCTGGCCTATGTTCTGGGTTGAAGAACAGGCAATCAGAGTGCTGAAATCCACGGTGGTGAACCAGGAGCACTGTGCCATCATGCACCAACAGAAAACAATGTTTCAAGCTGCCTTCCCATTTTACATGGAGTCAAGCCAGCAAGTAAGCATACTGTAGCTTTGTCCACTGTTCTAGTCTTGTGTGATGCAATTGATCACTATTACCCAATATCTGTCTTACATCACAGTCTTGCTTAAATGAAGCATACAGTAGCATGCAGCAGAACTTTTTCAGGGAGTGAAGGTGCCTGATGATTCTACTGCATTGATTCAGCCTTGGTATCATGATCCAGAGACCAAGAGGTGGATATGAGCAGAATTCATATGGCACCACCAGTTAAGCAGTGGTACAGACTCCTAGATTAGTGCCAAAGACCTCCAAAAACTCCAAGACTGTCCCAGCTTAAGGTTTGGGGTGCCTTTATGGGAGCAATGTTTGAGATGTCAAGATATTCATGGTTCATGGTACCCTGCATCAAGTGCCATTCGAAATAAAGGTCCACTCAGACTTCAGATTTCAGCTGTGTTGCTTTGACTTGTAATTTTGTTTGGATGGGTTGGGACAAGTAGTACATAATTTATACTTATTGTACAATGCATTAGGAAGCCCAATTCAAATGAATACATTTTTAAATAGCAGACCACTGCATGGTTGACTTGAAGAACATGAGACAAATGTCTACCAACTTCCTCAGCCAGAGCAAACCCCAGATTGCAGTCCTATTTAAAACTAGCCCACTGCCCACAACCACTACCCTCAAAACAATCTAAACTAATGGCTGGTCAACCCGAGGGAGGAAAGGAACGGCAATGAGCTGAAAACGTTCCAGTACTTTTTGAAATACATGCATCTGTGTGCACTGTTCTCCTTGCTTGATAAGCTCCCCAGACCTTAGCAGTAGTTCCTTATATTTTGGCCAGTGAATGTTAGATCAAGCAACAGAGAGATTGCTAGCATTTCTGTAATGTTGTTTTGTATTTCAATGGAATTTGAGCTGCTGTAATTCCTTAATTAAATTTAAGAGAGAGCCCACGATTTTAGTCAATTGTTCTCAAGCTTTACTTTAACGACCTTTTCACACTGATGTCTAGGGAAAAAAGCATCCAATTAAGATTTTAACAACGTAATTGTGCCTGTTTTTAGCGAGATCCTTCACAGTATTTTACTTCCCCCTACTCTAGGTTCATGGATTACAAGATTTAGGACATCCCTCCTTTTACTGTTAATAGGCATAATGGCCGCTAGTGTCAAGGTTAAGGTCAAGAGACCTGACCTAAAACCAAAAGCTTAAACTCTAAGAATAATTGAGACACTTGCAGGGAACCAAAATGACTGGGAAAAGTGTCTCACTTATAAGTGAGTTTATAAACTAGTGCTTATGAGCATTTTCTGATGCTTTAAGCTTCCGTTGACGGCTGATTCACGTGTTAACACCCTTTAGAGGCAGAGCTGGAGTCTGCTCCCTGTGAAATGACCATGGGTGCCGGACAATTAAAGCTAGGACCACCCTACCAGTGGTTACTGCAGTCATGGCTCTTAGAGCCTCTCAGACCACATTTCACCAAATTAACAACCGAATTCCGTGACTCTAACAAATATCATTGTCCCACATCATTACCATTAACTAACGTGACAGAAATACAGCCGTTGCCACCATGTAACATGAACCTGTCACATCCTAGATGCTAAGCAAGGCTGGATGTGGTCTGTACTGTGATGGCGAAGGCCTCTAAGGAAAACCAGGTTACTGTTGCAAGTGGTGTTGGTGGACCAGTAGTTGGTGCTCTTCCCTCAGGACCATAATTAAGCCGGTGCCCCATAATGGTGACTACGGACATTCTGCTGCAAGAACTGGATCCTTTGGATGCTACGCTAAATCAAGCTCCTGACTTCTTGGTCATTAATGATCCCATGGTACTGTTCATAAGAGCAGGTCAGATAATCTTAGTTAAATTTAATCTTGGGCTTCCACAACTTCACCTACCTTAATACGCTGTTAATAAAATTCCTACTCCACCTGATCTGCTGGTGCAGAATGCTGTGTGTGACCCAGGTAGGGTTGCTCTTCTGTGGGGGATGGAGTGGATCATCCCCTTTATGCAGTGTACAGTAAATTCAAAACCTTAATACATTTATAAGCACTAAACCCTCAGCTTTCACCTATATGACTTAAAAAAACTAAAAAATATAGTCTAATCTACTTAAGCATTGTTTAAGAGCACACCTTAAACACACAGTATGTTCTGTGAGATAAAAACATTTAAACTTTTCAGGTTTATGTCATTTAAGTGTATGTGTGTCCTCTTTTAAGATATTTGTATTGCTAGACAAGATTGGGATGTCATTCACAGGCTCACATCCAATGTAAAATAAGAGAATGGTAGTGTTAAAGGTAGCGTAAGTGTGCAAGATAAAGCGTATTTCAGTGAGACTGAAGGCTGTACTGAAAGCTGTGAAACAAAGATACTGTGAAAAAACTAACAAGTGCTTTTTTACATTACAAGGGTGCATTGAAGCTAAAATAATGTGCTGAATAGAGCACAGTGTTTGCTGAAGGTTATGATGAAAATATTTTCATTCACTTTTTCACTAGGCTGAGTTCATATGAGCTGTGCTGTGATACAGCTCATATATAAATGTGTCTCTATGTAATTCCTGTAGATGAAGATGTGGCAGTATGGTCCAAGATTCTAAAACTCTGCAATTTAGAAAAATGTATAAATTATTGGGAGCCATTTTACAGATGGAAACTAAGAAGGCTGTTTTAAAAACTAAACTTTTTCTTTCATGTTTGTGGGAGATTGAAAAGGCGACTCAGCTGACATTATCACTGCCTCCGATAAAAGACTGGATTAGATCCTCAGATCAATTAGCTACTATCAAAAGGAATGAAACAGGCAGAATGGCCTTCTCTTTCTTATATTTCAACATTGATTTGTTTGAACAGACAAAAATGTTGTAGCAAATTGTTTCATTTTGAATAAGTATGAGACTAAAGTACTGTTACTCTTGTGTGGAAAACTACCGCATTGAATTTACAAGTATGCGAAGCTGATTTATCAACAAACGGCATTTCGAGCAACTTAGAAGCCCCATCCAGGCATCTAGTATTTTACAGAGTAGTGGTGTTGCCCTGGCGTCCTGGCCAAATTTCCCCCTGGCCTTGATGTGTGGGGCACGTTCTGGCGCACTTTGGCTGCCGTCAAATCATCCAGGTGGGGCTGCACATTGGTGGTGGTGGAGGGGATCCCCCATTACCTGTAAAGAGCTTTGAGTGGAGTGTCAAGAAAAGCGCTATATCATTGTAAGGAACGGTTCTTGTTCTACAAAAAGATCATTTTCTGTTCAGGGCTGCAAAGATATTAGTGTGTCTACAGACTGCAGAGAAGAAAAGTGAAACACAGTTTCATAGCTCCCAGACTTTCAAACGATGCCCTATTAATGTGGTAGAAGAATAGGGAGAGGTATTTTGAAAGCGGGTATCTTCTGCAATGTTGTTCACATTATGGACAACAGGCATTCCTTTTCAGCGGGGCTCCTCTCTGCCTGAGATGAGCAGCGCGGCCACAGCACGCATGATGGAGAGACGAGCTCTTACCCGACAATAACGAGTCGTGGGCTGTAGGGAG